AGGGAAAGAAAACCCTCTCCAGCCTTGCCAAAAGAGCTTTATATCTTAAAAAAAAAGTACATACCACACATGTGGCGCTGACCCAACGTATTACGAAACTTAAAGATCACAACCTGTAACTGCCTTAGCATAACATATATAAAATTATAAGGAAAAGGGATGTTTGTGCAAAGCACACACAGATTCATCCTGAGGATCTCACCTGCCAGCAGCCTCATGGTAAGCCAGCTCCAGCAGCTCAGCAGAGGAATGTGTCAAATCCTGCTGCCCATTGCCCTGCATTTCTGCCATGTTCTGACGAGTTTGATGATGGATCTGGATAGCTTCTCCTGATGGACCTACACGGTTAGTTTGATCATTAATCACATCTGCATTTATTCCTCAGTTGCTTTTAGCCTCCTTTTGTCAATAACACAGGCAATGCTAACTAATGGAAATTAAGAAAGCACATCTACAAGATCTTTAACCTCTGGCATCTTCTCTGAAGTCAGCAAAGTAAAATATTCCTTGAAACATTCTACTACTTAGAGGGCCCTAAACAAATATGATAAAAAATCAGCATCTAAAAGTCAACCCAAATGATAATTACAATTCACTTCAACAGCCTCCATCTACTGTAAGACTGTTCTACACTACCTGATACTGCAAGTTTGCAAATAGATGGTAATATTTTCAAGAAGAAGATCTGATCCCTGATTTATCAAGCCTATACACTTAGTTCAGCCTCTGTTACAGCGCAGAGTACTTCAAGACACCAAAGTTCACATTGGTTCTCTTGTGCTAATGCCTGGACAAGGAAAATGTAACAGCAACCTAATATGCTATGAAACAGACTCACCCACAGGGAAAGTGTGCATCCAGCGCCTCCTGTTAGACGTAAGCTTCATGGGCATGCGGGATGGGGCAAAGGGGTTTATCAGTGCTCGCTGGGGTGTGTATCCCCCGGGCCGAATGTGCAGCATGGATTCTGCACTGCCAACGTGGAACCTCCCAGGGGCACTGGAGTCACGCTGCTGAGACTCCAGCATGTTCTCAAGGACATCTAGAAAACACAACTTAAAGTCAGTGTGAGATCATGCAGAAGCCAAGTAAAAGAGAATGGATTGCTTAGGGATATAAAGACTCCCCAGGGTAAGTGGGAATATGGAGAGCTGTGGAGCATGCAGGGAGAGAAGCTGAAAGCAATTTCAATCCCATCTGCAAGTTACAACGTAAACAAGAATCCAGACAGAAAAGAATATTATTTCATCTGTGTCCTGGTTTGAGCTAAATAGAAC